AACAATTGTAAAGGAATAGTTATTCACTCATTCTAGAGGCTATGATTAACTATTTGTTTCTTTTGTATAAGGGCAATTGAGTGACACAAAGTGATACTGAAAAATGCTTTGTAGTCGGTAGAATAAGAACCTCTAAAAGATGTCCACATCCCAATCCCTAGTAGTTTTAAAAATGTTCTTTTTTTTAATAGCAAGAAAAATTAGGGTAGCAGATGGAACAGGGTTGTTAATTGGCTGACTTTATTTTATTTTTAAAATATATTTTTTTATTGGTTTCTGAGAAGAAGGGAGAGGGAGAGAGAGCTAGAAGATCAATGATGAGAGACAATCACTCATCAGCTATCTCCTGCCTGCCCCCACTGGGAATTGAACTCACAACCCAGGCATTTGCTCTTTCTTTTTCCTTTAATGCTTTATTGTTTAAAGTATTACTTATGTCTCCTTTTCCCCACATTGACCTCTCCCTGGTGCTCCCACTCCTCAGCACATTCTGGGCATGTGCTCTTGACAGAAACTGATCCGAGATCCTTCAGTCCACCAGCCGACGGTCTATCCTCTGAGTCAAACCATCGAGGGCACTAATTGACTCACTTAAAAATAGAAGATGAGCCGGGATCATCCAGGTGGAACTAAGGTAAACACAATGGTCCCCTAGATGCAAACGGGGAGGCAAGATGAAAATGTACACTACTGGGTTATTTTTTTTGTTTTAAATATATTTTTATTGGTTTCAGAGAGGCAGAGAGGTAGGCGATATAGAAACCTCAATGATGAGACAGAATCATTGAATGGCTGCCTCCTGTACGCCCCTTACTAGGAATTGAGCCAACAACCCCAACATGTGCCCTTGACTGGAGTCAAACCTTAAGTCCCCAGGCTGACGCTCAATCCACTGAGCCAAAGGAGCGAGGGCTTCACTATTGGTTTTGATGAAGGAGGAAGGGCCCTGAGTAAAGGGATGCAGGTGGTCAGCAATGCAAACTGGAATTGGCAAGAAAACAGATTCCCCCCTAGAAGGAGCCCAGTCCTGTGCACATCTTGATATGAGACTCATTTCAGGCTTCTGGCACCTAGAACTGTATATGGTCACTTTCAACAACGACTGCAGGAATATTTTCCAGCAGAAAAGGAAATCTCATGGAGTAATTTATTCAGTAAAATATGCTTGATGGAACTGAGTTTAAGTTTCTCTATTCATTAGGTTCCTTGGGTAAGGGCATTTTACTTTGAAAACCCACATGAAGTAAAGAATAAAATTTATAACTATTTGGAGATATTCCACCCCCTTAGCTGGGACAGTGAAGTCCTCATTACATAGATGTAAACTGTTGTGAACAATGATGCCTTTGTGTCATTAAGGCTTAAGGTACAGTGTGTGGCCTTAATTTCTCTATCACTGAACTGTAAAAAGTATTGGCTCTCAGCACACTACACTCTTTGGCTAGAAGATGGTCAGTCCTCAATTTATATTCCCCAAGTGCATGGCAAAATTTCTCATTCAAAGTAGGAAAAATGACCACTGCAGGATTAGGGTGAGTGTGTGTCCAGGA